TATATATATATATATATATATATATATATACGATAAATATACGATATATATAAGACTGCGCCTACCAGATGAGCCCCAAAAAGGGTGAAACCGGTCGTGGGCTGTCCGCGGATTTTCGGCAACCTTACATTACAAAGATATACATGTATCGCGATATCTCGAATATCGTAGCGACTGAAACATGAGGCGGCCTGGTGCAGCACATTCAGTTGCCTGAGTACATCACAAACGAGAGATTCATCTGGGTTTCAGGTGCGTCTCTCGAAAAACCAAAATTAGTTTGTAAATGAGTGTATAATACCAAAGGTCATTTCAACACAGAACTTACAGTAACTGACAAACAGACGTGTGTAAACCAGTGCCAATGTCCCTTATCGATGAAATTTTGTGTACCGGACGCCAGAATTTGAATGATTATCAGAGTAAAAATCTTCGACCACATCGAAAGGTCTAAAACAATCATGTTGAAAGGGAATTTTGTTACGAGCGGTCGCAAAACAAAACCAGAAAATGCTCACCAACAAACAACCATATTGTTTTCATTGTTCCATTTGTACGAAAAGGTTACCACCGATCTTATGCTCAGGCTAGGACAGACAACAAACTGGTAGCGAAGACCATAGAGGTCATTCACGTAAAATTGCGTTTTTGTGGACCCTTGTGTAATTCAGCTTCCGTACTTGTATTTTTAGTCCACAAATTGCAAAAATTTGCGCCGGTTGTGCTCCATTTTCGGAAATGACTGATGTGGAGAGAGTCGTATACCTGAAAGTTATACCAATATTTATCGCAACCCCTGAATTTCGCTTCTATATTTTGTCTTCCGGATGTGAGAACCACTTGTTCTCCTCAAATTCCTGGATGTAGTTTAGTCAACCAAACTTGAAATCCATCCAGTATGGTGATGACAGAGTGATAAACTTAACAGAAGTTGCTATGGGCGACATCTCCTATACTGACAGTTGGACAACAGTTGAACCGTCACTTTTGTGAAAATGTGTACAGGCGTTGCACTGGGAACCTTCACTGTCGGATTTCCGGCAGATCGCGTCGCCCATTGATTGAGCTGGGTAAATCGATTTCACAATTGCAGTCCTATTGCTCAGCTCAGTTTAGCAAACAAACCAGCTGATTTTCTTGAAGCCTAAGCTGCCTGACCTCCCTCTGAAAAGTCAAGTTATTTTTAAGGTAGCTGTTAGTACGGGGGTATCGGTGATACTAATGATGGGGTGGCACACGAGTAGTATGTGTTGTTCGTGGAGTTTCGCTTTGCGTTTTTTGAAAAGAGGAGATCTGTTGCTGAATTCGTGGAGTCACTTTGTAACGGTTGCTTGGATTTGGGCGAGGAATGAGTGGAGTCAACGAATCTCCGGGAAAGTTCAAGAAGACGCGTTTAGGAGAAGATGGATGTCCAGTTTTTGTCAACACGATGCAAATTAGAGTATTACTTCCCTGTTCAGTGGTCTGTAACCGGTCAGTTGGCATTTCCTAATAAATAACTCCGCAGATCTACATGTATCGCGATATCTCGAACATCGTAGCGAGTGAAACATGAGGCGGCCTGGTGCAGCACATTCAGTTGCCTGAGAACATCACAAACGAGAGATCCAGCTGGGTCCCAGTTGAGCCTGGAACCAAATTAGTTTGCAAGTGTGTGAAAAGCCAGTTTCTCTTAGGATGGATGTTGTCAGACAGTTTGGTTAACTGGGGCAATCAAGTTCCTTTTTCCAATTTTCACCGTCTTGGTGGAATACACGTAAGCAAATAGAATCTAAAAGTTGGGTTTATTCGTTTGTATTTTAAAGACAGCATGTGGTTAGAAAAGAATAGCGATCTACCGTATAATTCTATCTGAATAGGACTCATCGAGCGTTTGAATTAGGATCGATCAATCATACCTTGGTCAGCAGCTTTCAGTGCTTACTTTGGTGTAGAAATCAGAGAACACGTGTCAGAAAGGAGCGAAAAGGAATGATCTTTTGAGACGTTTCGTAAAGTTACATGCAAACAGAATGTCGCAATTTGTCTGTTTGTTTGCAGTCTGAAGCCACAATCCGGCGTAAGAAATATTGTTGTGTCGGTGCCGATTGAGGCATCATTTGTGGAGCATAGCATTTCATCTTCGAGGTGGATGTTTTCAATCCCAAATGCTTTCTCTCTCCCTCCCCATTTCAACGATAAAGATTCATGGGATAGCGCATTTGAGTTTGGAGAAACTCTGGATGAGGGCGCACGGAAACCGGCTGCAGTACGAAACGTCCGACTACCGTATGATGTGTTGCCACGGTTCTACAGCCTCCGGTTACAAGTCCGTCTGCACAAAGATGACACACCAAGGTTCTGTTTCAACGGATCGGTTGTCATTAAAATCTATTGTACCAGCAGCACGGACTCGATATTCGTCCATGCTTTTCATAATCTGAACGTGAGCTTGGATCTCATAAAGGTAAGTTTGTTTTTCCAATACAATTTGACTTCATTATGACTGAACCGTTCGTGTTTTTTGCCGAGAATTTCTCCACGGCCCGCGAAAACATACGACCCATGAACCAGTCCAGTTTGGGTTATGTATATCAGTTCTTTAATAGAATTTTGACAGTTAGATTATAGTTTACGTACCGTGATGGAGCAAACTCCTTTAAAGAGGGAGATTTATGGAGACTCATCATCATCACCATCACATTCATCATCATCATCATCATCATCATCATCATCATCATCATCAATCATCAGTCATCATCATCGACAGTATGACATCAGTGTTCAACACCGATGCTTCGTTGCCGTACATCCATGATTTATTTGAAAGCCTTATTGTAAAAACAAGAATATTGGTGGTCAGTGAAGAGACTGAGTGCTAGCTTACTATAATCATTTGGAGGTGCATACACCTCAAAACACTCATTCAGGTGGCCTGGATAGAAGCTGACAACAAGAACGCCACTGACATCGGTTGGTAGCCATGTCATGCAGCGTCTCCGACCAGGAGAAGCGAGGATTACGCAGTGTCCATCCTGGAAAGCACTCAACTGTTTCGTAATTTCCTTCATACCACTCTGCCAGGTCAAGTGTTGGCCACCTCTCCGCTTCCGCCACTCTGAGTTGGGCGTGGAAATCAATGCTCTGTTCGGCAAACGATGGTTAGGCATGCGCAACATTTGTCTGAACTAACGCAGATTTGGTTGCTGGACACATTCTTCAATGAAAGTACCCGTTGCAAGACCGAAAAACGCGCTTTCAAACTACCTAGCTAAGGATTCACCGACACCAACCCACAAGAGCTGTGGCTTTGAGACAACGATTGTCGAACACCTGAAGACGTCTCAGGTCCACTGCTCGAATAGGCCAAGTCTCACAACCATACAACAAAACAGCCCGTACTGTACCTTGATACACACGACCCTTGAGATTCAGGGATAAACCATTCTGACGTCATAGGTGTCTCAAGTTAGCAAACGCGGTCCGAGCCTTGCAGATTCGTGCATTCACCTCATCTGTCACACTAATACAACTTCTACAGCTTCCAGTGCCTCTTCCTGGATTGCAGTTTGCTTGTTCAGTATCTACATCGCCAGAGGAATGACCTTCAACTTTGTAGGCGCAAAGTGCACACCAAAGGAATGGACGGCTTTGGTCAGTTCATCCAAAAACACCTGCGCCTTCTTCTCCTCTTCGAAGACGAAAACGATGTAGTCTGCATATTCCAGATCGACAAGGTTTTCTTCACAGGTTATTTGAACACCAGGGTTTTGGAGACCTTCCAGCGTTCGTCCCATGCTTTCATCGATCAGGAATTTAAACGGGAATGGAGAGAGTGGACATTCTTGTCGAACTCCACTTTGTGTGCGGAAGCTTTTGAACAGCTCGCTATATACTCTCACACGTCCGGAAGTCCGAAAATACAAAGAGTTCATTATTTTCACAAACTTTCGGAGTATTCATTGGTGGGTAAGCACGTCAAGAAGAGTCAATCGATCAGCCGAGTCAAATGCGCCTTGGAAATTCGGGAATACTAGAATTGTGGGTCGCTTATGTGTACGGCGTTATTCTAGCACCTGACGAAGTATGAAGATTTGGTCAACGTAATCCCCTACCAGACCGGAATCCCGCTTGCTGCTCTCGAGTCAGTATTTCGCGAGCCACCGTAAGGCGACGAAGCACCAGGGACGTCAACGGTATCGTTACTACCAGTGTTAAGCTAATCCCTCTGCGGTTACCGCACTCATTGTGAGCCCCTTTTTTGAAAATGAGCACTGTCACTGGTACCTTCCAGTTGTCTTGATGCAAGCAAACGGATCAGACAAGCACTGACTGAAGACTTCACTCCCATCTTCAAACAATGCACGTGGGAATTCATACGGACCAGAAGCTCGGTGGATATTGATAGATTGTAAACTCCCGAGTCCACGTTCACCTTCCATGGTTCTACGTCAACTCTGGGCTCCAGACGAGTGGCAGCTTGTGGCCATGACAATTGTTGTTCGAAGTATTCGACCTATCTGTCAATGCATTCTGCTTTATTCGAGATGATCACTCCCTTCTGATCCTTGATGGTTTCGCTCACAGATGGTTTTCGGGGATCGATCGCACGAATCAAGTGAAATAATCTTCTAGCATTACCGGCTTTTTTGGCCTCCTCCATTTCTTTGGCTTTCTGTGTCAACCAGACTTTACCGTCATTTTCACTTGACGTCTGACAATTCGTCGTGTTATGTTCGGGACCGCCTAGGATATTTCTCCGAGACATAAAAAGAGCCAACGTTCGGCATGATATTCAGTGCTTGGGTGCGCCTGGTGGTGCCGTGTCACAAGCAAAACTACCAGCATTATTCAAAGAGGTGTCAATCTCGTCCCAGTATTTGTTCACATCCGACGTTGAAGCATTTGGAAGGGACTCTAGAAGACGATTCTGGTAAGTCGTTTGCCATCCGGACCTACTACTCTCTCAGTTACCAGGCGATTCGTCCGCACCTTAAGCGACTCAGCAAAAAGTCATGAGAAGCGACTCCGGATGAGTGAGTGGTCGGAATCCACAAATGTGTTCCAAAACGACCGGCAGTCAGTTATTGATCCGCACCATCGGTAACTGATGGCAATTTGATTTATTTGAGTTCGTGGTCGGCCTGCCGTTGGAGGACGCCATGTGGCCATACGAATTCGGCTGTTTCGGAAGTTGGTACTGCACGAAAACAGCCTGCGATCAGCACACATCTGGAGCAATCGTTCCCCATTGTTCGTACATACCAAGTCCAATCCATGTCGACCTCCTAACTGAGTCTCAGATACTTCCTGTCCTAATGTGCATTCATCTCTTCGGCAACTACCACGATGTCCGAGCTTTTAGCTCGGCGGAAAAGAACACTCAAGGTGTCCTAAAACCTGTCTTTGACGGCGTCGGAAATATAGGCAATTCAGGAGGGGGGTAAGCAGACATGAAAAACAGACATTTATCAACTTGCCGCTTGTGAGACTCCTTCACAAATGCTGTCCGACGAACCGCACAGAGGCAACTGTCAACAAGTATCCAGTCAAGGAGGGATACTTTCGCCCGGTGACTTAAGACGATACCAACCTCTGCACCTCCCACTGCAGCAGCCTCTGGATCACCAGAGGTGCGTAGCCGGAAGCGAGTGGAGACTGATGGGGTGGGTGACTGAATCACTGTGCTTGCATCTTGAATTCTCGTTTCTGATACACAGCACACATCAATGCCAAGCGAGTCCAGTGTGAGTGCAAGAGCAGCTTATTGTTCTGCTTGAGTCAGAGTGCGCACATTGAACGCGGCCAGATAGACTGGGCGTCGAAGCTTGAAGATTGATTTCGAGATACCTGAGGATATCGGCGCCATGCGATGAGCAGATGTTGCACGCAAAACCAATGCATGACGAACGGAGTCATCAGTCCTAAGTGCTGGGCCTACAAGGATAGAGTTATTAATGGGGTGGGGAGAGGGGGAAGAAAGAGTATGTGAAGGAGAAAGAAGGCGTCTGCAGAAGCCTTTTTCGCTTACCCTCCCTGCCTTGTGCAGCGAGTAAGGCAACTCGGCTGATGGCACCACGCGACAGTCGATGTGGCATGAATTTATTGTTAGACGTAAGTATCACGGTTGTACGTTGGCTGGGATACTGTCATGGCGCTCATACCCAGACAGGAGGGCGATTAGAGTCCTCAACCAAAATTTTTGACTCGAAAGCCTAACTGCAAAGCAGCGGTATTCGGAAGGAAGTTCAAACGAATTACCATTTATACGAAACAAGTTGCCACCTGTTCCAATCCCCAACCTGGAAGACCAAGAGACTGTGATTTTCACTGACCATTGACCAACTTGTGAAATATACTGGTCTAAATTGACAAAAAATTCGTATCTAAGAGACCTCAAGCAGTCAGTCCTACTTCACGTGATTAAATTGTTATTCGTAAACAAAGTTTCTCTTATTAATTGGCGGCGTGTTGTGTCTTTGTACTTATCCAAAGACAACTATCCCTGGTCTTGTTCAAAGTGCGCAACTGTAGGCACTTTACATATTCCGTATCAAAATTGTTGATAATGTAGGAAAAGGTTTATTCCGTTAATTGGAGCCATCTTACGCCCAACAATCGTGAAGTACTGCGCAGTTGTTTCATCCTTATTCCTGATGACGAGCAGTACGTATCTGGTGAATCTCCGGGTGGCTTCAAGACCCCCCGAAGTTCCACGAGATACTCACTGTTGATACTATCTAAAATTTGGACACTTTTGACAGTTTAATCACCTAAGTGCCTTCTTTGTTTCTTTTGTCACGCTTATTGGCCACAAATGGCTCGATGGTTGGATGTCTAGCCACGTGACGCTGTTCGGAGTAGGGTTGTTTTCCTTTAAATCAGTAGCCAAGTTCCGATTGCACCCCACTTTTGCTCATCAGGCTGAAGAAAACGTTAAGGCAGTGAGTAGGATGATGCGGATTCAAAGTCTACAGATTCTGCAGACACTTGATCAATGGAACTACAAGTCAGCCTGAAGGTTTCTCTGATGATGTCCTACTGAAAAGGCCGCACAATTATGACCCTAACTGGTTGGTCGTTTAAGAAATTGGGTGAACCAAGTCATCATCTAAGGGACAGATGAGCTTAGCTGTTCAGTTATGGTTCCGAGTCATGTACATCTCGCTTAAAGCAGCGGAGAGCAAAGGCATTGCATGACTGATGAGGTGTAAAAAAAGCGTTCAACCGTAGCATCCTTTCGGTGCCTAGCTGCCATGCCACCCAAAGGAAGCACGAGGGCTGGGATACTTCTAGGTTGCCCAAGCCTAGACAGGGGAAGTCGAGTGGCGGAGGTCGGATTCGAACCACGAACCTTCCGGTCAGTAAATTCGCGCTCTAACCACTTGGGCCATCTCGCCCCTGATGAAGTGTACTGATGGAGGAACAGTCAAAATAGGGTAAAGGTTCTTCAGGCAGAAAGTGATGAGGATATGACTTTAAAGATCATGCCACTACCAAGTAGAATTAGAGTACGAGTAAGACTGATCGCATTTCGGAGGTTTTATGGATGGCTTGTGTTGCTCACAACAGGCAGTTAGCCGGCTAACTTTAGCAGTTCCATTTCCATTCATCCAACCTGGAGTCGCAAGACTCTAATCACATCCGGACTGATGCCTGGGCTACCCTACCACTACGAGGATATGGGTCAGCATGCCGAGTACTGCTAACAGAAGGACAAAAAGTGCCTTTAACTGAGGAGTTGTTCACTGGCCAACATGAACTAAGGGTCTACCGCCTGCTAGACACCATATAGGAAATTTTACTAGCACCGGCTAGTTGAAAAGTGGACATTTTCAAACGTCCTCCTAAATTTTCGTAGACATTGTTTGAATATTGAACAAAAAATGTAAAATCACTGCAAAGCGGTTCCATAGTTTCCGTACTAACCTTCTAGGGAATCGCACTTTGATGCCTAATAAGGCGCTACTGACATATTTCATCCGTAGCACATACCATTACAGTAGTAGGGTTCTGTATTTCAGGTGCCCTATAGTATGCGTTCGGTAGAACCTCTTGGGTGCACTGATTGATTGTTGGTCTGTTCGCCGAGCTCGGCAGTTGGATTGCAAACAATTCATCATTAATCGAGGTGACATCGTCGTCAACCCTGCATTGACAGTGACGCCTCGATTGGTGATGAATCGTTTGCAATCCAACTACAAATCTCGGCGAACAGACCAACACCCAGGAACTGTGGGATTTAGTAAATTGTGTACGGAGATGGAATTCCTGCCGTCTCGCAACAGTCAAAAGATAAGAGTACGTGAACTTTATTCAACAATATTTACAACTTTGACGAAGTCACTCCTCAACTAATTCGTGTGAAACCCATAGCTTTCTCATATTTGGTAAGGCAATCCAGCTGTTTGCCATTAACAGTGCGAGTCTCTATAATTGTTGCTCGTGACCCCGGACTCTTCGTTGTGGCCACATTTCGAAACTTCTCAGTTAAATCGGTCTGTCATGTTTTAGCCCAGCGTAACCCAATCTGATCCACCCGTACATTCAAAAATTACATATGGATGCCACCTAGTACATACCCCCAGTGATATCTGCCGCTCATTGAATTTTCGTCTTCCCAGGGGTACCGGTGCTTAGGTCTTTAGTTTGTTCGCAGAGTTTGATCCCTTTTGGGGCACCTCTGTAATGGCTGTTAGAAAACAGATTTCTAATTGTGAGGCTCTGCTGCTTGTCAATTTTTTTTAAAACAATTTATTCTGGTTAAGGAAGACAAATGCTCATCTTTGCTTCATCTTACGTTCAACAGGTTGAAACGCTCCTAGATGATGACTCTGAGGGTTCCAACGTACAAATCAAGAAGATAACCTATGATAACGATCTCCAGTGGTATCACATTTTGCTTCAATCGAAGCTGGAAGCTGGACAGTTTTATCGAGTCACATTTGGGCAGTTTTGGTCTCCCCTACAAACCGAACTCAAGGGTTGGTACTTGAGCTCGTATGACGAAGGAAACGTAAAAAAGTAGGTGGTCAATAGTACACCGTTTTTTCGGATGCCTTGCTTTTTGAAACGTTGTTCTAAATTGAAATCCTAACGTGTGTTGTTGCAGACATCTGGCAACTAGTCAACTTCAACCCACTGATGCGAGACGAGTGTTTCCGTGTTGGGACGAACCGGCGTTCAAGGCCCAATTTCAGGTAATTTCAAAAGAAAGTTTTTCTCGTTTGCTTTACCTTTTTACATCATCTAAAATGGCTGATTGGTAAAAACATGGACAGCACTAAGCCGAGCTTACGTCCTTGGGAAACGTGGTCCCAGAGGTTGGTACCCCACGGCCAGGTTTCGTATGAAGCATAAGCATCGAATTCCTGATTGTTTTGTACTTTAGCAGTTGTTCCAGGTCGCCTGTACCGATCTGGAAATTCAGTCTACTGACACTGGACACTGCACAATTATAAAAGAACTTGATGGACAAATGTGGTCTTAATGGTCAGATCACGTGATTATCACAAGACCGTCATAGACAACCTTTGACATGGAGCTCTTCTCAGCGTAAGACGTTACCGGCGCGCAGCAGCAGAGCACATCTCAGCACACTTTCGTGGGAATCCAGGCTTTCGCTTGACCATCATGAGTGTTTGGACCAGCAGGGTTGAAGTGTTCATTGATGCCGATCAATTCGAACGACGCCGAAAGGCCAGTGACGTAATTTGTCCTCAGTTATGCTAACAAGGGATATAATCACGGATGACTATAAAGCATCTTCGCAAACTATCTGTTTGTGAGATTCGGTCTATTGTGGCGAATGTCATAAAGTCTACGGCTTCACTTCGAAGCAATAAACATTTGCTTCGTTTGCAGCGTCCTTCAGCTATAAGCCGCCATGCAGATTGAAGGAACCGCGAGTGGCTCTTGATGGAAGTCATCGGAAACTTGGGTTCTGAGCGTCTTTTCAACCACACATCGTATACCCAGTCCTTTGTCTTGTTCTTGACCCTCACTAAGGCGCTGTACGCCAACTCCCGCGGCCGTGTAAAGGCCTACGGGAAGCTCTCTCCTGAGTTCACCATATTAAGTGGCTGTCCTCTTTCACCTTTCCTCTTCAACTTCGTTATTGATACGGTCATGGAAGATTCATTACCAGCCTTTAATGCCTGTGGGGTCGAAGTGCTCCCTGGGCCTCCACTCACAGATATCGAGTACGCAGACGACGCAGCGCGTTTGAGATTTCACTGTTAGCCAGCCTTATTGACTACTAAAGTGCATTTCACACGCAAGTTGGTCAACTTACTCGCATGCTTGCGCATCTGGACTGAAATTGAAAGCCAATTGAGTCTCAAGACAGCTAAATGAAGAAGGTTGGATCATTAACGACTGGTGAGAAATTCCGGAACAACCCACCGCTTTAAGCAGAGAATTTCGTTGTCCTTGCAGAACGACACCATAAGCTCACAATTTCGTTACGTTTATCCTTCCAACATTGATAGTTTTCAGACACAAGCGGGTTCAAACAGTCATATGATTGTACGAAAGCCATTAGCAGCAAACTCAGGTGCGCTGGTCACTGCCGTCTTCCTGGATGGGGACCCAGAGACGGTCCACATCAATGGCTAGAGACGTCATCAGACATGCCCCAGTCGAGCCCTCACTGGCGCTCGTGCATCAAAGCTATTGCCTTCAATGCATAGCTCCTTTTCCAACCCCAACCCCCACTTGACAGCCCACTGACAGTGCTGGATTTATGCACCAATTTATCAGCTCGCGCGTGCAATGCGCAGCTACCTAACCCCCCCCCCAAATCATCGGTGAACGAAAATGCGGCAGCTACAACCACTGTACGACGAGTACGCGGTTAATACAGCTGAAGATGAGGATGATGATGATGGCGATCTTACAAACTGTTGTTTTGAGTTGCCTCGTTTGTAAACTTCATAAAATTAGGCGATTCATTTCACATTCTATGTTTTTCTGCTCATGTTTATTAAATGTGTTATTAAAAATATTAAAAATACGTCTATTAAAAAATATTACCCTGGATTTGAGACTCCGCTTGGTCAGGTGAAGACCACTTTTTTCATTCTAGCAGCGTGTGCACGAATAACGGTTTATTCTGATCCCTAAACCTGATATTTGTTGGTGTTCATAATTCAACACAAAAAGACGATGAGAGTCAAAACAGACGAAAAAACTGGGAAGCAGCGAACTGGACAAGCGTTTTTATCGCTGACCGAACAATGTGCACTGCTTGCTGTGTTTGATCTACCCAATGAACTCAAATTTGACCGAGTAATTGTGAAAAAGTGAGGACGTAATAAGAGGAGACGGTTTGTGGAAACCAGCAGGTTAGCGGAGACTCGATAACGTGTTGTGACGGACTTCATCGTGGAAAGCGAAGAATGACTGGATTATTGCTGTCACAGGCTTGCATTAGATGTAGGTGGTCCAAGAATGTATTCGTAAAGGATGTCAGAATGAATCGAAGTTTTTAAGTTGGTACTTGGATGGGAGCAATGAGATTATACGTCATATTATATCGATATTTTGTTTGGGGCATGTTGAATGTATGACCGTAATACACTAATCACCTAGCTGCGTATCCGTGATTCCATCCGAAGGAAGCACTAGGACTGAGAAACTTCCAGGATGACAAAGCCTAGACAGGATCTGTCGAAACGCCGAGGTTGGGTTCAAACCATGGACTTTCCGCTTAGTAGGTTCGTGACTTCATCAGTGAACTATCTTGACACACTATGAAATGAATGGAATTTGAAGATTATGAGTACACACCTTTTGAAGAGAAAAGAAAGAAGATGGAAAGCCAACGGGTCAATGGGTCAATCTACTTTCCACCCATTCCCCTGGTTCTTCCTTTTCTTACAGGTGAGATTCACATGATTTTTGCACGTGATTTCTGGTATCATGGAAATAGAATGTCATTGCAGCCTCTTTATGGACCATATAGCTTTAGCTTAGCTATCGATTTTTCTTTTCACGACCATAACCGATAATTCAACGAACTTCTATTTTCATTCACTTCGTGTTTGAAGTTTTGGCGAAGTAACACAACACAAGACGACTACTGTTGTGGAAGAATTATTGCACCCCAGCGATGATACCATCTTTACTGTTGTCAAATGGCTCCGTGAAGCGCACGTATCATAATACGGATTTTTCATGCTATATTCCGATTCCATCTGGTACTGATGAGTTACGTAAGATGTCGCTTTTCTGTACTCCACATTCTGGCAAATCAATCTAACTTTCTGATAAGTGTTCACCTCGAATTAATCAATCTGGGGTCTCGTGTCGTGAAATACGCCTAGCGTGTCTCCTACATTACAAAACGCAGTTTTGGGAATCAGAAAATGAGAACTAAACCGAAGAACAACCAAAAGCCTACTACTAAGTTTATGGAAGATTCAAAGTCCATAGGCAGCTCACTTTCAGCTTGACCTTGAAGATCACGAGGTAGTTGAAACAAGAGACAGCCGACTGCATAAACTTGCCGTTGGATACACGTGCATCTGTCGATTCTTTGATTTCAGGATCTTTATCCTGTGAATGAATTTCATGTAGATACCATTCCATCAAGTTGAGTCACGCATCCAGCCACAAAAATCCTCTTTGGTAACTTTCACCGGATTCCTACACTATCCGTAGAATCGTCATCTCTTCAAGGCCAGGATTCACCATCTCAGACGAGTGAATTTTATGGGACTAATCAAAGTTCTTTATGTAGAAATTTCAACCGGCAACGTAGAAATGACCTGTTTTCTGTTCTCAACAAATCGCCTACTTTTACTCCACACCACAGGTCACCCTAATACGTAATAAAGACTATCATTCTTTGTCAAACATGGGACTTGAAAAAACAATATCATTGGGCAACAATTGGTACGCGGATGTCTTCTATCCAACCGTTAACACATCAACGTACGTCCTGGCTTTCGTTGTCTCCCAGTTTGCCCCACTTTCTTCAAAGGATTCAAGAGGGAGAAACGTGAGTTATCTTCCGTGAATTTCATCCGCCAATTTCTTCTTGCTTCAGGTATATGAAACCGAAGAAATTTGAAAAATCTTCCCATAATGTAGCATTTTGGTTTTTAGATTGTTTGACAGAGGTCCTTATTCTGGTATGGTTGTATCCGACCGATAAATTTTATGGGGGCGACCCTGAGGACCATGGATACTGCGTGCCCCCCAATCAATCAAGGTGATATGCTCACAAGAACAATAATAGTTCTCTCTCGATAGAGTCGATTGATGTTGAAGAGGTCCAACAAGATCTTGAACACAATACTGCGTCCAATTAAATCCACCATGTTGCCTTGAGGGCCTCCAGTTTCTGTTAACCTAAACATTTCAGCTTTAAAGTAGAGTCCAATCCTTTGCCATTTCCACATATCCGTGAACAATTAGGGTTTGAAACACGGAGTGATCTGCCGGGTCTGATGGAGCATTGAGCACAAACAACGTTTTGAAGTTCTCGTATTTCTTTCTTTGTGCCTACATTCTATCTGCTTGTCGGAGAAGTGGACCTCGGAGTTCTTCGGTTCTCAGAATATGGCCTCGTTACTCTCGTTCGAATACATAGGAAACAGCCAGTGGTGTAAACCTCTTTTGGCATGTTTGGTCAGCTATTTTTCAGCTGGACTGTGGTCTGAGTTGTGATTGGAGATGAAAAGTTCTGTGGCCAAAGATTCCTAACCAGGCATGGGGTTAGGCGCAGATACACTTTCGTGGCGGTAATATGCACAAGAATCCCAGCAATACTGGCCACCTGAGGAAACCTTCTGTGTAGAACAGCGTTTACTTTTACACTCATTTGCAAATCACTTTGATTTTCACGGAAGACTCGTCTGGATCTCTCATGAAGACCAAATTGATTTGCAGGTGAATGTATTTGTCGAAATCCGTTCAGTTTGTGCTCAAGTAGAACATAAGGCTGACGGAAACTCGGGGACTGCGCCTACCTGATGAGCCCGGAGTGGAAGGGCGAAGCCGGTCTTAGGTTGTTAAAGGGTTTTCAGCAACCTCGTGAGTAGTTTCTTTTATGAAGTCAGTCTTGTGAATGTTGAGAGCCCCCAGGTAATTCAAGCCCACATGACTTGGATATCCTTGGCTCCCGTATATGACAGAAGATGAAGATAACTGAAAGGTTTGGTTCCTAATTACTAGCCGTGAGGTCGTGAATTTGAGTCTCCCCATAGATTCAGAAGACGCGCACTGATAGTGCTATCTCAAAGGGTTGAAAAGATTGTGCAGTACCTATATGTTTTTCAACACAAGTTGATTTTACTCTGAAGAATTCCGCATTTTTTAATGAAGCCAGACTAAAGTGCTGATTGTATATTTTCACCTCCTTTTATGTATTTCCAGGTTTAGAATAACCCACCAATCGACTTATAGTCATAACTAGGCTGTCGGATGGTTCCACGATAGGCTTGAGAGAGATTAAATTTACGTGGTTTTGTGGAAATCTGTGTAGCATTCGTTCACAGCGCACTGCTTCAGGGCAACTCAAGGCTGATATTTTCAATCATTAAAAATGCGCCCGCCGGTTGTCCATCACAGCAACCGCCACTCTTCGAATGAACTGACTTCCTGCAGCAGCGCGCCCAAATCAACTGGAATGCCCAGTGAGCACAAGTTTTCATCCGGCTGGAGAACAACATGAATATCGGTTAAGAATATGCACCCCGTTTGCCCGCTTACCTTCAAACAGTCGAATGTGACTTCATCAAACTTGTTGACTTTGCTGAAGTGACAGTAACCGCATGTACTTGTTAGGACTTAATTAGAACGGCGGAAAAGTTAATTTAAGTCTTCTAGAGCTGAGGTCGGAGCTATTAACGTACACCCTGGCGGGTTGGAACGACTGTCAGTCTTATGAAACAATAAAGCCCTACAGATGTCCACAGAGGAAGAGGAAATTAAACGATATCTTGTCCAGTAAGTTCTTGACCTCAATCTAAATAGTTCATCGGCTGTCTTACAGAGCCTTATTCTAAGGCAGGAACTGGCGGCTGGAATAGTTCAAGAACAATTCGGCTGAGCACCCGCAGTTGCGAGGTTATTTTTCACACATCCTAGACAGTGAACGTAAAAAACCCGATGGCTTCAGATATAATTTCTCTCTCAAGATTCGTTGAACTTCTGGTCCTGGCGAGCTCCCACCCGCTCCGGGAAACACTCAGTCGCTGCATGTCCAATTGATTCCCCTCTGCCTGGATCATAATTGGAGACCGCATGGAAATAGCGATTTCGGAATGAGATGATCAGGAGGCGGGCTCTCGGTGGAGCGGATGGTACTTCTCATAAAGGAAACTACTCACAAGGTTGCTGAAAACTCTTCGACAGCCCACTACCGACGTCGCCCCTCTTGGGGCTCGTCAGATAGGCGCAGTCCCCGAGTTTCCGTCAACCTTATGTTCAACTGAAAACGTAAGCGAAGGAGACTGGACCAGTTGAGTCACACAACAGGAGTCACCGTCTTTCGGGACGAGCGCTGCCTTCCCTGTGACATTTGGAATAATAGAAACTTAGAATTGGAGAAAAATAATATGGTAGAAGGGAATGAAGGATGATGTTTTGGTGATCCAACCTGGCTAGAGGCATTAAACGTTATGGTAGCCGGCCATATTTCTCATACCATCATTTACTACTAAGACTGTCTGACCAAGTTTTGGAATTGTGGACAGCTAGGTCCTCCACCGTGCTGCACTTTTTTCTTATTTCTGACATATGGCTTTATCCAAATAAAAAGACATTGTTGTAGAGAACTGATGCGCCAGTGTTCTCATCCCGGTGTTAGTGATACGGACCTTTCCATGTGGGCTGCCGTCAGACCACTCTTCCTTCCACACTACTTTGGGCCTTTACTTGCGCCGGTTTGAAGAACAGAAAGAACCAAGCAGGTTTGTGCCAACTCTCATGGGTTCACAGCAGCACAAAGTCCTAGTCCTTTCTGACGTGGGGAATAAAACCAAGTGCTTTGCAAAGTACTGTTTTTTGTCTGGTTTTCGAAGGAAGCTGGTCGCTTTTTGGTGTTAAATGGCTAAACTGTCAAAGCCAATCCCGGCCATGGGGGGATTTCTATGAAAAAATGCAAATATAGTCAACCTAGGACAAAGCGCACAGAGTTTGTTTGTTCATTAGAAAATTTTAGGTGTGGATAAACTAGAATTCCACATCTTGTCACCTTCGAAGATAAATACATCTGATAAGCTCAAGAGATGCTTTTATCTTAGTTTTACCAGTGGTGCTACACTTGAGAATCACCCCTCCGGTATTCTGAAGTAGACACTAAGCCAAATATTCGAAAGAATCGAGGTAAACTTTGAAGTTTATTGCGGACAAGCAAAATCGCTAATTCGTGGCACACGTGCTATGTCGTCCACAAAAATAAATAGTTTGGACAACGTCAGTTTTGAGGACAGAATTTCACGATGGGATTTGACTGGTATAGGCTTTCGAGAGAAGAAATCTCAAAGTGAAGCTTCTTCAGCTTAGATAAATCGATTCAAAAACAGTAGTTGATGGCTTTGTTCTCCGTCTAACTCAACCATCGGTGTCCGAGCACGGAAACCATAAAACACCAGCTGTACGTGTTATGTTGTATACCTGCGTATTTTTCAGCAACTTGTAGTGTGAAAAGCACGTTCATGTGGTTTAGTCTACTTGCTATTGGGTCTATCCTGTGACCTCATTTGAATAATGCCCAGAGGTGTTTTGTTCTTTCATTGGCTGTACAATTTTTTGGCAGCCCAATAGCAGGCACAATCTGAGTTGTGTGACTTCATTTTCGACGTCCATTAGACCCTGGAAACGGTAGCTTGATCCAACCCGTCCCTTTACCCATCAGGGTAAATGCCGGTGAACCGTCTTCTTGGTTTAACACACCCGTGAACCCGGTTTACTACTGAGTAGACGCCTATCCTAAGAGGTGACCACCAAATAATCGATACTGCTGTCCGGATGACTCTAGATTCTTTGTTAGGTTCGCGTAAATGGTTATCGTTTTCTCTATTTGTATTTTTTGAATCTAAACCTTCCCTGCTAAACGGGTGATGTTGTATTCACGACCAGAATCTGGTTGGCTCTAGTGGCAGAGTATCGATCTTGTTACGACTTTTAAAGCAACAAGCGGGAAAGTGTTCCTTGCCACGGCAAACATGGTTGTTCTAGAAACTTGACAACAACAGTACCTAATTTCTATATACTGTGCTCGGTCTCCTCCCGTTCTGAAAGAGTTCCTTGCCACGGCAAACATGGTTGTTCTAGAAACTTGACAACAACAGTACCTAATTTCTATATACTGTGCTCGGTCTCCTCCCGTTCTGTACACAAAAACCATCTAAGGTAACATCTAAGGCTAACAAAGCGCTCGGACATATAGTTTGTCCTTACTTGGTATCGATCTGGTCAAGCAGTCCAACAGCTGGTGGGCACTCAGCTGATTCAACCTAATTAGACGTCGATCGCCTACGAAAGCACAACACTTACCGAGACATGTTAAGTTGTTTTCCCAGTATTTGGTTGGTTCACACAAGCCCCACTCGGATGAGACATCTCATCTGAAGGGTCTGATTAGGTAGGTGTGGAGAGACCAAATGTGAACAAAGCTACACCCGCCACTGGACTTCTCGAGAACAGGCCATATCCTCGGTCCGTGGCTTGATAATTAAATTTTCTGGGGTTTTGAGGGATAGGTATTTTGTTCGTAGTCACACCACTCTCGTTTGAACGGTCATCCTCCTGTTCTGGCCTAATTACTCCGGTGAGTCCACGCCAAACGGAAGCACTGGACTCGAGTTTCGCCCTTATTAGAGCTCATCAGCAGTGCATATCCAATGACCGTGCCGAGATTTGAACCCCGGACATCTGACATACAAGGCGAGCGCGTAACCACTACCTCACCAACGCACGTTGGACGCATCTGAATTATCACATCTGAACAGCTGAACTTGTTCACGCCTGAGCGGTGTGATTGGTGTGCCC